TGTTTCCCTTGTAGGACTCTACTGAATTCTGATCGAAGAAAGATCAGATGTCGATTTTGACATCATGATGGTTAGGATGAGATTTCTTCTCTAGGAGTGGTCTGGAGAGGGGAAGCAGAAGGGCATCCTTTGGCACGAGGTCAGGGCTATAAGGTGGATACGGAAGAACTCTCCGTCCGAGAGTCCAAAATTTTCCTGATTTTCTTAGCAAGAGGTGGTTCAACGGTGTCATAAAAAAGCAAACTTTGCCTTGTTTTTTTCGTATTAAAAGCGTTGCAATTCGAGCTGTGGATAGTTGACTTTCGCGTTGACTGCGACATCTACACGTAGGGTTTCCAGAGCTCAACTCCTCTCGTGTTCCACCAAAAATCCGAGAAGGCCCTACTTGGACGAGGTTGAACTTTAGCAGTAAGAATTCCAAAGCGTTTGAGCTAGACTATCGCCGCTGGTTTACAGGGGGCCAAAAAAGAGTCACTTTGCCCATGGCGCATATCATCAACTTTTCGTCGCAAAGGATGCCGCTGTTATTGGGAGTTATACGGCGAAATATTCCTTAGATGTCCCCCATAAGCAGAATCAGGCCCACCTTCGCTGCCTTCACCGTCTCCAGAATATGACGTCATCTGTCATCACCGTCGAGCTCAAGGAGGCCTACCATAATCGCTCCATTCTGAAGCTGCTACATAATTTCTTCAATCGGATAACTGGTGAATGGCTTCTTAGGGACACTAGCTCTGACTATGCAAAATGGCTTTTGACCAGCGTTTCAGGGACGTCGTAATCGTCTATGGTACCTCGACGACCTCGTTGAGCTCGTACCGTGAACCATGTTTCCGTGGGAAAATCTTCTGATGTCGTCGGTGTAGAAGCCCCTATGTAATTTTTTTTGATAGAATAGAATGTGCTCTTCAATATGCAATTGAGCTCATTCGGTTTGGTTTTGGCAAAGTGTAATTAATTCTGTTTTGAATGTGAGTGAGGGTGACTCTTTTTTGGCCTCTCTGTACTACTCGTCTTTGGCAAATGTGATGGATGGTCAATCGTAGAATCCCTAGTAAGTCGACTTGAACATAACGGTGTCAGATCGTGTTTGGAGCTGAATCGGGCTCAAGGCACGTGGGGACCAAACTCTATATTTTCGGATCTTCACAAGTCTTTGGAGATGCCACAGTGCTGTCTCCTTGTCGCATCGGAATCGCTCTAGCAAATGATCGATAGTCTATCCAGATCCCTTTTCAACAGCGTCAGATAGAGCATCGTGATTGCCAGTCACAGGGTGGTTGGAGTGTGGATCATTTTCAAATAAAAAAGTCAACGCTGAGCAGAGTGAAGCGCCGGTGCACTGAAGAGAGCGTGCCCTCGCCCATCTTCTGGCTAATCCTTGGTGTAGCATGACTTGCGGAACATTCCAAGCAGTACTCGTAAAAATTAAGGGCACGAAGGGGTTTTCGCGAAATCGGTGTAATAGATAGCTTCAACAAGAAGCGAAACAGTGAGCTGGACGGTTGGCTGAAGAGGTGGGTATTGCGTAAGTAAACGTTGCGGAATTTTCCGAGTTATCACAATCCATACAATTAGAACAAAAAAAAAAAACAACAAAAAACAACAGTAAAGTAAAAACGCGTCTAGAAAAAAAAAACAAAAAACAACAAAAAAAAAAACCGAGAATCAATATAATAACACGAAAAGAACTACCTCACAATAATTATCTGGCATTAAATGTAGTTTGTCACAGGACTTATAGACCAACCTAATATAACCGGTTAAGTGCGTCGCTCAGTGTATGTGTATGTTTAAAAGGAAATTCACAGCGCGCATACCAGGCTGTCAGCAGCAGTTGATTTCAAGATATGATATAGGGGGTAGGACGGAAACATTTCCTATGGGGGACAAAAACTGATAATAGCTGATAGGGGTTGATAAGGAGCGCCAGAACGCAACTGTCACGAAATTCATAGCGCGTGGCTCAGCAGGATAAGGTGCTGTCTTATAGATATAATGTAGGGAACGGAACGGGAACATATTTGGTGGTTGACAAAGCGAGATAGCAGCTGATAAGTACTGGCGAACAATATGTACTTTCCCCACGCAGGATTTCAACCCGCATCCCTCTTACAGGACACGTGCCCTACAAGGTATGCTACATAGGCACCGTTTCGCTCTAGCACAGCGTTTCATGTTGTGTTTACCATAGCTTATAAGCACTCACACTTCTGTTAATTTACTTCAACTTTGCAAAGAAGTGTGTCTTAAGGGCTTCTTTTATATCCAATTTACATTTGCACTGTGATGCAGCTTCAATCAAGGCTGCAGCACGCAACAGCTATCTTTGAGCCCGAGTTCGAATAACTGTCATCGAATGAAAATTTGAGCAAGTTCCAAAGAGGGTTTACTGCAAGCTGTTTTCTAGGGCTCTACCAAGAACAGTGAATTTCCTTTTGCACGGGATGAAAGCCGTGGAATTCCGAAAGTTCAACAGAGTCGGATCAAAACAGCAGACCGAATGCCTTCGCAGCGTTGGTAGGTGAGCAAATTCAAACAATTGCATCTTTGTGCACAGGCGACATTTTAGGAATTCATTTCCCAAATCTAGCAATCGAGCTAGAGAAAAAATCGCTCTAGAAATGCGTGCCGTGTTGAGATATGGAAGGAGACGTCGTAGCACACCACTCATCTACCACCATCCGGTCAACTGCTTGAGAACTGTATTGAGAGGACTTTCGCGGTTTCTACGTTTTCTTCAGCAGAAAAAAAAAACAAATTTTGAAGTAGAGGATGATAGTAGCTAGGAGTCTATGAGACTAGACAGTCGTCCCTCAAGCGCATGCTATGGTCCTTATTATTATTTGTCCGTATTGTAAATACTGACAAACCCATTTACAATCTTAGTTGGGAAAGTGGACGAATCGCTGGAACACGAATCAGCCAATCTTGAAAGCGCTGTTATTGTGTTTTTTTAACCTCGAATATTAGCTTATTACATAGGAAAGACGACGGAACCTGTTACAAGAATGGCTATGAACCTGCCAACAATACCAGCAGACTTGTCGTACGAGCAGTACTGCAGACGTTATCTAGACAATGAATCCTACATTCCACTGATGTATCAGAAAGCTGGATATAAAGTACTACCTTATTTAACATATGAAGGAAGAAAGGATTTCACGCAGAAAAGTACTTTTTAGATGTTTGGAGCTGAAGACTCCCCGACGGCCAGCGTTCTCCACTACCCTAATTGCCTTGGTACGAAAACGAGACAGTTTCAGCATTCGTACAGGTGTGAGGCATTTCTCTCTCGCTTTTTTGGGTATCAGCAAAAAGGCAGCATCAGAATGAGGAGCAATGATGGAAACTTGGAATTATTTTATTTTAACTACCGGAGAAAACTACAAAATGATCTGCGTTTAGCTTCGTACCGTTTTACTTACCACGGCTGGCTTCACACCATTGAAATAAAGGTGAGTCTGCCTCAGGATCACAGAACTAGCGCATGCGAAGCTGTGAACCTGCTTCCAAATAGTGATATCATAAATTCAATTCCGAATTCGAAGGAGGTCAGAGTTCTAACATGCGTAAACTCCATCGGCAGCGTATTTCTTTGAAGAAATATTGACACTACACTTTTTCTGAAGATCACAGCTTCTCCCAGCTTCGCTCTCTAGACTTAACTTCTAGCGTGTCTCCTCGTAATACCGCTGAATTGGGCTTCACAAGAATGCTGGGTTGTGAACAAAACTTTCGCCCCAGACGGGACTAGAACCCGCACCTCTCGCTTTCCGGGCAAGTGCGCTACCAGTTACGCTACCGGGGCACCATTTCATTCCAACTCAGCTTTTCATGGTATACGTACCATAGCTTTGCATGCACTCGCACGCTAATAGGCCGGATAAGCGTTGTAGAGCCGATTAGCGATATCGGCAATGATCGCGAAGCCTGAAAGCTCAACAACTAATTTTGACTTGTTTTAGTTTGTTAACTGCTGTTTCTGGCCGCAGCTCGCAGTTCGCCCTATTCTTCAAACGCATTTTCTCAAATTAGTGGCCATATGAGAATTTGATTGGCCCAAGGTAAATGTCGGTGTCAAATCCACAGGGGCAGTCGTGTTGTGTGGAGAGAAGGTCGAAGGAAGATTGTATTCGTGTACGTTAACGCTAGCGAAATCTTGGAGCAAGTGTCCTAAGGGATTATTACGTATTACAAGAAACCTGAATATGGAAAGACGTCATTAGCCTAAATCGCCACGAAATTCGACGGGATAGACATACGGCTGAGGCTCGCAGCTGTGGGTTCAAACTTACAGCGTCGCATGGCATGGTCAGAATCGAAATGGATGGCTGTGGCGGCCGTAGATGGTGGGCATAAATTTTGAGTGCTTCTTCAACCCTTAACCACAAACGAATGCAACGTCTCAGAGTATGATGCATCTTACTGCGGAAGGGTCTATTAGTTTTTGCGCGCGCGAATGTTCCTGTACAGAAAGCCCGAGTTTCCAGACTAAATCTCAGTCAGCGAAGGGGCATCACTTGAGCAATGACTTTCGGAGACGGAAGAAATTTTCGGAAAGCTGCTTTGTGATCTTTCAAGGCGGATTGACCCATTGAAGACCTGTATGTTGAAAACCACGTTTTCAGCAAGGTAGCTTGAAAACTGATGAAGAGACGAATCACTGGTACGGAAGTGGGGAGGGGGGAAGGGTGGTCGTATCGCAAGTTTCCAGAGAGGAACCCAACTTTTGAAATCGGACCAACGTGGTGGCCGATCCTTATCAATCAGAATCCTGAAAGTATTCATCATGCAAAATCATCTCACAGCGCAGGACAGCGCCTCTTCACCAGGACCATTAGCAAAAATCAAGTTTGGACGGTCCGATGAGATCCCTTAATTTTCACAAGTCTTCGGCATTTAGGCCTTTTCAATCAAGGCTGAGCAGCGACCGGCACTTGGAGCATGTTCATACGAAGGGATCCTGTCGGCTTGTGCACGACAATATGCTGGACTACCTCGAACATTTTGTGAACGCATACAACGGTAAGTGTTTTCAGAACACCCCTGATATTAATAGGTCATCATTTAGTGTTGTGCTGGTCATGAGTAGTAGGTTTGAGATCATACCATCAATTCAAGAAATGTAAGTGAGACTCTCAAGGGTTACCAAAATTCTCGCTCACATGGTTTGTCTGGCTGGCACATGATGACACTTTGTGGTTGTATCGTAGCGACTACAAACTATACGACTTTTATCTGAAGAATAGAGATGCGGTGCGCTGAATAAAAGTGGTCTTTAGCTTGAGATTTACTCGATAATATTGTTAATTTTCAGCTTAGCAACTCATTCATCTTCTTTTTCGGTGATCACGGCCCACGTAGTGGAGACGTAAGTAACCTGCATTTTCACTCGCATTTCCGAGAGCGTGATCAGAGGACCGTCTTAGGAATATAAACATGGAATAATATCTTCTGATGCTAGTAGAATCATTCCCCTCCGATTCCAATGTGAACATACAGCGTACCTTCTGAAAGTTGGCGCACACTTAAGAAGTCCGAATGAGA